GGCCAAATTTGGGTGGATTTCAATGGGGACAGTAAAAGGCACATCCCTTCCTCCCAGGCCACCCTGCTGCTTGGGGGCGCTAGAGCATTGCAAAGAAACTGTTGTAGAAATTAACCTAGCAAAACAATGCCTTTTGCCCTAGCCTCGTTCTTGGGAAAAGGCTGAATGGCTGAAACATTCCCAAAACATGTCTGCCTGAGGCAGGCCTGCCTGGAAAGTTGCAGCCTGAATGGTTAACGTTTTTCAAAGTTATAAGAAAGAAAAAACAAAGAGTCTTGCACTGGGAAGTGTCGGGGAACTTGGATAATAGGTGGTGCTACCAGATGGTGCAGTCAACACCCAGCCCAGCCCCTCCATCACAACACAAGGGTGATGTCCGCCTGGTAACACCCATCCTGTCCCTCATGGCACACACCATCATAGCCATTCAGTCTGTTTATTCCCTGTTAGTCCATGGCCCACCTGACCCCAGGCTCATTCTCTCTGCAGGCCGGGGATGGAGAACATGTGCTTCTCCATCTTGGCAAAGGCCACCTTCTTCTCATAGTAGGCAGCCTCGTTGATGAAGGCTGGGTAGATGGTGGTGTCGCCCTCATATGGGATCTCCTCCCCGCTGAAGGTCTGGAAAATTGGGTCTCCGGGGTTCAAGGGGCGGAAATCCTTATCCTAAGGGTGGAACAGTTGGTGATAGGCTGGGGCTGGAGTAACCAAGAGCTCCTCCCAGAGTAAGTGCTCTTGCCCTGTTCCTTACAGCGCCCCCTGCTGGTTGAGGCCAGGATCCTCACTGTCCTGGAATTACCCTCTGGTAACCAAACATTTTATTAGACATGTGGCAAGACCCCATGCAGGTCACAGTGCCTTGTGAACTAAGCCCACCCCAACTCATCTCCTGGCTGTCCAATGTCACCCAGCCTGGTGCTGCATTCCTATAGTTTTACAGCTCCCTTGAGCCCGAGGGCTGCATAACCAAGATCATGGAATCAACTCCAGTCGCCCCGTGTCCCAGAGTAAACCCAGCTTCACCCCGCTGAGCTCGGGGGCTAACTCTGGCACTGCCTTGCCATGGCGGAGCCTTTGTGGTCCAGTTGCGCTAAGGCCCCTTTGTGCTGCTCAGTAGAAGAAACAGGAGCAGAGATGTCCCACCGGCTCTAAAGCTGGTGTAAGAGCCCTGCTCCCAGCCCCCATTAAGACTGCGGGGGTGGGGGGCATTATGCTCTGGCTGGTCTCTGCCCCCCTGGGACCATGGAGAGCAGAGGGTAGCTCACAGCAGCCCTTGGGCTGCTTTAACCCACACCAGTGGCCAGGCGCACAGCTCACAATGCAAGGAGCACAGAGGTGGTTTAAAGCCATCTCCCCCTTGCTCTGCCCTGAGCTCAGAGAAGGGCTGAGGGAGAATCCAGGCCGGTGAGTCAGTCCTTGTTGTTGCCAGGCTGGCTTTGCAGGCATGCTGGAGCTACAGCTGTGATCTCTGCCTCCCAAAGAGAACAACAATGCAGGGGCTGGGACCACCCTATTTCCAGTACACACCCACCTGCAGCTTGGGATGCACCATGGCTGAGATCTCCCCGTCGGGGTAGCGTGGATAGTCCATGCGCCCAGTGATCTTGTACGCTTCGATCTCAAAGGCAGGGAGCACCGTGCCTATGGGGCAAAGGGGGCTCAGAATGGGGGGAGCACTGCATAGGAAGGCTGCCCTGCCCTGCCTTTCCCCCCCATCCCACCCCAGTTAATCACAGGCTCCCACCGCTGTGGCTAGAGAGGAAGGTGACCCCCTCAAAGTACTTATATTGGAGGAGAGCCTCACCTAGGGTGACCAGATGTCCCGATTTTATAGGGACAGTCCCGATATTTGAGGCTTTTTTGTCTATAGAAGCCTATTACCCCTGACCCCCTGTCCTGATTTTTCACACTTGCTGTCTGGTCACCCTAGCCTCACCTATCCCTGGGGCCACTGCAGAGCAATGCATGATGGGATAGCTCAATTCATCTCCAGGGTGATGCCTGATGGGATAGCTCATGCCCCCTCTGGGATAACTCACCATTGTTAAAGAGTTCGATGAATTCCAGTGCGCAAGCCATGAGGTCTCTCATCTGAGTGAACAGGTCAGCTCTCACCACCTGCTGGGGCTGTGGCCCCAGCTCCAGCGCTTCAGGGAGACCACAAGGACCCAGTTATGGCTCGGCTACTGCGCCCTCGCCAGCGTTCCTCCTGAAAAGAGCTGCCCCGAACATGCCCCAATGCCTATTGCTAACCCCGGGGCCCTGCCCAGCACCCACCACCTCCCTCAATTACAGCTACGCCCCAGGTGCCTGCTGAAATACCACCCGTGTCCTTTCATCCCACCCACCCCCAACCCCTACCTCACACACCTGGCCCTCACTGCTCTCAAGACGCTCCTATGCATGGGACAGTGGAAAAGGCTCTGGACAGGGATGCAGAAGCCATGGGGTCAATCCCTGCCTCTGCCACCAACCTCAGGCATGATCTCAAACCCGTCCCTCTCTGGAGGCACCTGAACAGGAGAGTGTTAGCCTGGCGCGCTAAGCCTGGCTCAATCCCAGGTTTTGGAAAAACTTTAACCACCTCGGGGGGCAAACACCAGGGAGGGGGACGAGCTAGAGAATCTAAAGGGGCAGCGTCAGCACAAGAACGAAGGGGGATGACCCAGCCATGAATAAACAGGCTGGAAATGAAAGGTGGGTTCTACCCACCAGAGCAACGAGGATCCGGATGAGCCTCCCAGTGGGATGAGGGTCTGTGTAGGGCAATTCCCCGCAATATTCTGGACAGGGTGGGGCTTAGCTGGGAGCAGCAGTGGGACGGGTTGTGTCTCCCAGGAGAAGGAGATGGGGAGCCATGGAAATGAGGGGAAGAGAGGGCACTGGGAATGGGGGGAAGGAAGGCTTGGGGATAAGAGACTAAGGGGCAGGGCTTGAGGGCTGGGGAGAAAAGGACAGGGGTTAGGAATGGGGGCAGAACTTGGGGGGCAGAACTTGGGAGTAGGGGGATGGACTTGGGGATGGGGAGGTGGGGCTTGAGGGTGCAGTGGGCGCTGGACATGGGGCACAGGGGCAGGGGTGTGAAGCTGCTGGAATGGTGATGGGATGGTGAGGAGGTGACATAACCAAGGATGTGGTGGGGGGCAGCAGTGTTTGGTGCCAGAGGGGCATGGGAGGGTGGGCTCTGGGGGTTAGCCGAGTAATGTCATTCCCTGCCCTGGGACAGACTCGCTCACTCCGCAGGGCTCTCTCTGCCCCCTGGCAGCACCCGCTCCCTACCTAGCCCGGCTTTGGCCACCGAGTTGATGGAATAAGTCTCCTCGCCCAGCAACTTGTACAGGTAGATTGGACAGGGGCTCCGTGTGTAGTGTGTCTGGGGGAGAGAGAGGAGACGGATTAGGACAGGGGACCCTGGCCCAATGCAGGGCGAGTGGAGAGATTGGGGACTGGCCCCACCTGGATGTAGTGACACATGTGCATGGGCAGCAGGCTCTCCTCTGAGTCCACGATGAGGCAGGTGCCCATGTTGGCTGTGGAGTTGTGCAGGTCGAACATGAAGTCAAAGGCCTGGGCCGAGCCCTTGGGGCCGTAGGTCTGGTTGATCTCGCGGGCCCGGACCACCTCGTAGGGCTCGTCCTCTGCCTCTGTGGAGCTGGGACAGGGAGAGACAAATCACATGGAGCCACCAGGGCCCCTGGAGCCAGGGGATGGCTCCAAGTAGGGCTTCCCCTCCCCCTCAGCCACTGGGAGCCTGCTCCCCTTCAGCTCACATTGGCGGCCCCAATCATGGTGTGGGAAAGGTTCCAAGGGGGTCAGTGTGAGGGGTGGAGGATCCCCCTGGGGCAGGATCCTGGGGGGAGTAGTGTGAGGGAAGAGGGGTCCCATGGGGGGTGCAGTGTGAGGGGAAGCCTATCCACTGCTGAGGGGCATGGAATATCCCTGGGCTTCCCACCACCCCTTGGGATAGCAGTGCAGAGTGCAGATAACTCATCCCAACCCTGGGATCTGATGCAGAATGATGCATCATGGGTAACCTTACCCATCACTGGAACCTTTCCACAGTGATGCATCATGGGATAAGTTTCCCACCCACTCCCCGAGAACCAGTGCAAAGCAGTGCATCATGCTGGGACAGCTCTCCCCACCACCCCGGGGATCAGTGCAGAGCGATGCATGCTGGGATAGCTCTCCCCACCGTTCCAAGGACCAGTGCAGAGTGCTGCATGCTGGGACAGTTCTCCCCACCGCCCCAGAGACCAGTGCAGAGTAGTAAATGCTGGGACGTCTCTCCCTACCGACCCGGGGATTAGTGAAGAGCGGTGCATCCTGGGGCAGCTCACCTGAGGAACTCGGTGGTGAAGGTACGGTTCAGGTCCCGCCCCACGTAACGCACACACTTCTCGATGGCACGTGGATTGCCCAGGAAGGGCGTGACGGCAAAGCTGCCACGCTGCAGCTCCATGGGGTTCCGCAGCCAGTGCTTGGCCAGGTAGATGCCCGACATCTCATTACCGTGGGTGCCCCCACTCACCGCCACACGGCTCAAGGGCTTGAAACGGCAAGAGGCTGCCATTCCTGCGGCTGCTCTGCTCCTGTTGGAGGGGGAAGAATAGAGAATGCTGCCCAGGTCAGAGCCCACATGGGAGCTTCCCCATCCAGTGGCTCGTCTGCTGTTCTGATGTCATCTCCACTGGCCTGGCCTGTGGTGGTGGTGGTGTTGCTGCCCCCCCACCGCCCGGACAACTGTAGGGGACTGATGCTCAGAAGCCAGCTGGGATGCCCCCTGCTACCGTTACCTTCCAGCTGGAGGCGCTGCTGGTATCTTCTCTGATCAGTATCTACTGGGGCTTCCTCAACCAGAGGAGTGCGGAACCCACACCTGTCTCCACGCCTCTGGGAATGGCTTCCTTTCAGCAGTGTAGGCGTTACAGGGCTTCCCCTCTCTCAGACCATGGATGGTGCCCTGCTCTTCTTGGGAATCTGCTAGGGCAGTGCCTGTGCCAGGCTTCACACTGCATGGCAGGGGCGCTAGGGCGAGCCTCCCTGGCTTTCAGCAGGTGCACTGGCCACAGCAGGCTCTCCAGAGACTGGAAACTATGCACAGGGCGACTGGCCTTTTAAGAGGGAGTGGGGTTTTGGAGCACCTGTGATGGTTTCCCTGCTGCCCAGGGGGATCCCTGCTCCTCTTAAAGGGCTAGTCACCCTGTGATACTCAGGCAGCCGCACTTACCCACAGGCAGGTATGGAAGAGCCTCAGGACGATCCAGATGGGGACAGAATCCTCAGCAGGATGCCAGGGCCAAGGGGTTATAAGAGGAACACAAAAGCCACCGGCAGGAAGCCAAATCTGCCAAGGTCACCAAAAAGAAAAACCCACAAGGATGGGGAGGAGTTTCCAGGCACTGAGGGCAGAGATTGGCTCTCCACCATTCCCTCCTGTGCCTCCTTCTCCTGGGGGCAAAGGGCTGAGGAACCGCCAGACTGGATCCAACCCACGCCTCATCTAGCCCAGCATCCTGATTTGTACAATAGCCAGCCCCAGCTGTTTCACATGCAAGAAATGCTGCAGTTGTGGGATCGCCTGCCCCCCAGAGAAAGGTCACTTTAGCCCCCAGTCATTAGAGGCTGCAGGGTTGTGCCTTGAATAATGAGGGTTTAAAGTCCTTACATAACCCTAGCTTATTCCTTGAACATGTATCCTAAATCTGCATGGCCTTGTTTTCCACCAGAATGACTGCCCCTTTTAGAAATCCTGCTAAGCACCAGCAATACCTTTTGGCAATGAGTTGCGCAGGCTGATTGGGCGTGGGGTACAAAGGCGTTTCCTCTGACCGGGATGGCTCCATTCCACGGTGCGTCCCCTTCTTTTTGCCAGGTGGAGGCGAGGTGACAGTGAGTGAAACAGGCTAGAAATGGTGCAGCCAAAGGCATATCCTGGGAGTGCTGAACACTCACCTCTCAGGCAGCCGATAAAGGTCCCAGCCCACCTGCTGGCTGGGGGTGTATGTTAAGAAAGACCCCTCAGCTCCAATCCTGTTCACTGCCAGTCAAGGGCCGTCAATATCAATCTCTCCTCGGGGCTCCCAGGTGTGAGAATCTGTTCAAGATGCAAGCCATGGAGCCCCTCAGTGTTTAATATTTACCTCCCGCTGTTGGGACTTGGATGAATTATACCCCAAGGCTGGCAGTGACCTCTGCACTGAGGTCTCCTTCATGGCCTCCAGCCCGGAGACCTGCTGCACCTCCGCTGCTGTTGGGGGCAGTCCATCCCCAGATCATAGGCATCTCAGAGGCCCAGATGCTGGATGTACAGTCCCCAGGAAATGAAGGTGAACCCCAGGCCTTGGGAAGGGTGGGAGGAACCCTGAGGGGTTTGGGGAGCCCTGACTGGATTCCTTTGGCTCCATATCTAAAGGACAGGGCCCCAGCGGGTGTACATCGGTATCACTCCATTGGAGTCAGTACTCATTTACACCCACTGAGGATCAGGCCCCACATGCTCATCTAAAGCCTGCCCAGATCTCTCAGCCCCGTATTCTCTCCCAGCCTGCCCTGCACAGGGAGATCGGTGTGTGGTGGGGGGGGGGAGGGAGGGGGGGAATTATTGGCTGGTGGTGGTGGGAGCTGGTAGAATAGACAGGAAGTCTCTGCAAGCTTGATTTCAGTCCCCTGCTAGCTCAGTTGGTAGAGCATCAGACTTTTAATCTGAGGGTCCAGGGTTCAAGTCCCTGGTCAGCTGATAAACTATTCACAAAGATCTTAGATCTCTCTCTCTGCTGTTCCTGCCCTAGTTCCTCCTGTCCATAGGCCCCCTTGCTGGTCTGCTCTTGTACCTCACTAATCTAGGTGGAGCGCCACACCAGCTCTTCTAATGCAGCTTAAGCCTGACCGGCAGCTGCCTCCCTGCAGCTGTGCCAATGTCCCTCAGTCCTGACTCACAGCCCCCCTGCTACTCCAGCCTTGGGCTTCCACTGCCCTGCTGAAGCCCCTCCATCCTGACCCACAGCCTCTCCCCCCTGATTTCTTTCCAAGGTGGGAGTGGCACTAAGCTGGTTGTGAGGGGCGGGGCGTGTTTCCTTCCCTCTCTGGCAGGGACAAGCCAGCTGGGAACTGGGCTGCAGCTGCCCAGAGAAAGCATGACACAGCAGGTCTAAGGGCCCCAAGGCCACCTCCAGCCCCGAAGGCATGGAAGACCTTAGGATGCTATACAGCTATAATGGGGGAGGGAGAACAGGAGAAGGCCAGAGGGAAACTCCACCCAGGAGCTTAATGGGAGCTGTGGGGGTGTCTATAGCCAGACCGACTGCTATGGCTTCGGCTCCCCAAGCAAGTACGTGTTGAGGTGCTGGCCTCCGGCCTGCCCCCTGGTGGCCCTGAGGGTGCATTGCCTTCAGCTCCCTCCATTCTACCAATCAGTTACTTACAACAGAGTACCTCAAGCAGAGGGAAGTCTGATGTATTAGCTGTTGGAGTGAGTCTAAACCCCTCTTCCTTAGGGTCCCTATAAGGGCTCAGTTAGGCCACATCTCCCTCTTTCACGAATCACAAGCCCTGCCCCCTGGAGCAGGGTTGGTACAAACCAGGCAGGTTCCTCTAATGGGATAGGATTGGGGTCAGGCCAGGTGCTTGGGGAATCCCTCCCCCTGGGCCCTTTTAACTGCACTCTGGTAGCTTTGCAGGCCCAGGTGCTCCTTACTCAATGAGCTGCGAACCAGCCACCTAGATGGTTAATCACTTCAAGTGGGCTGAGTTGGGCTTGTTCTCGCTAATGAAGCCAGCCTTGGGTAGACTGGGCCCTTTCTCTCCTTAAAGGAACTGCTCCCTTGTACTAAGACCCCAGTGGTGTCCAGCTCTTCTTTGAGCAGCTCCCACACTCTATTCCAGCCCCTGGAGTTGTGTTGTTTATATTCAAGTAATCCACGAGTCTTAACAGTAAGTCATTGCTAGTAACTTAATGCCCATCTGTGTGAGATATGTAGTTAACACATAGACAGGAACACCACAGGAATCCAGGTGAGAAGTCCCTTCT